TTCCTAAGACCATCGGAAATATGTGTTTTCCGATGGTCTTAGGCGACCCCTGTGGAAGCGTCGTTCGACCCCCAAAGGGGTCGCGACCCCCAGGTTGAGAACCGCTGTACTAAAGGTTGTTCCAGATCTATGATTATACTGCTATGTAAATGCAATGCAATGGGTTCAGCCTAGATGATATTGTTACATAAAGAAGTGTCTGTTACTGTTATCATGTATGTTTTATGGTACCTGCAGTTATAACAACTGCATCACCCTGCTCATTATGAAGCAAAGCCTAGACCTAGATGAAGGTGAGTCATTATTATTATACATTATTTTTGTAGCACCAACAGTTTGCAAAGCACTTTACAACATATTACTCATTCACCATTATTTCCATTCCAGCATAGCATATACATCAGATAATCTTTGCCTAGCTATGTCTATTACTCTGCTTATGTCTATGTCTATTCTGTACATTTACAATGATCATTATTTCCTTTACAAATCTAATATTATAGAGAATGGTGTGTAATATACATTGCATGCACTGTTTAGGGACCATTATTCCCTATATGCCTGTTATCAGTGGTGTATTTAGGTTTTGTGCTGCCCTAGACGACACAGAAATCGAACACCCCCCCTCCTTGGCAGAAAGAGTGCCTCACACCTACCAACACCAGACCCCCCCCCTTCATGGAGAGAGCCTGACAATGACCAACAACCCCTCTGCCCCATCCCCCCCCCCCACCCACCCAAGAGAGCCTTCCACTAACACCCACCCCATCCCCCAACGGCGACAGAGAGAGAGAAACTTACCTTCACAGCTATGGACATCCCCAGGAACGACAGTTGGACTCTGCATACACCATCAAGCAGCCCGCAGCCTCTCTCGGATCCCACCTGGTCCCCATGCCGCATATGTCCCTTCTTCCAGGGGGCTGTGCTGTCCGACTAAAAAATGCAGACCTAGGCAAATACCTTGTTTGCCTTGTGGTAAATATGCCCCTGCCTGTCATGTCTAAGATTATACTAGATAACACAAACCATCAAACCATGCAATGGCTATTACACCCTCCCATGTCTATTATATCTATTATGATTGAAAATGGGTAATTTATGCTATATATATAATGACCATTATCCTCACAAAGTTTATATTTGTTATAAAGGATGATATGTAATTTTATAATATACATTTTAAATAATGAAGAATGAGACAGATTCAGGGGGTTATGCAGTTCAATTTTGGGCACCAATTCACAAAAAGAACATTGGGGAACTGGAGAAAGTACAGAGATGGGTAACCAAACTAATAAGAGGCATGGAGGAAATCAGCTATGAGGAAAGATTAGAGGAACTGAATTTAATCTCTCTTGAGAAAAGGAGATTAAGGGGAGATATGATCACCATGTATGAATACATCAACGGTTCATATAGTGGACTTGGGTGTCCTTTTATGAAACAGAGATCAGCAGCGATCCTAAGGATCATCATTGCTGACCTCAGATCATTAGTGGTTTAGGAAACAGAGATGATCAGCGGAGAACATGTTCTCCGCTGATCATCTCAGCACACAGATGGCCAGTGTATGAAGAAGCGATGTCAGCCCTTCACTGGCGATCTGTGTTCTCCCTCCAGACTCTCCAGCCCAGAGGTGGAGAATCGGGGGAACCGCAAATGAAGCAGCGGTGATCTACCGCTGCTTAGTAAACGGTGTAAACTTGCGAGATTACAGTAACAGCAGCCATTTTCTAGAGTTCAAAGTGTTTGTAGATTGCTTCTCTCCTCAATCAGAGAAGCGATCTACACCACTTCATAAAAGGCATTCAGAATAGAACTGTCTCCTCTGAGAATGCCGGAGAACTGAGCAGTGGTCATTTACCGCTGCATGATAAAAGAACACCTTGGTGTAGATTTATTCCCCCTGAGGTCATCACAGAGGACAAGGGGGCACTCTTTACATCTGGAGGAAAAGAAATTTAATCTCCAAACACGGAAAGGTTTCTTCACAGTAAGAGCTGTGAAAATGTGGAATAGACTCCCTCAAGAGTTGGTTCTGGCCAGCTCAGTGGATTGCTTTAAAAAAGGCCTGGATTGTTTCTTATATTCACGGAATATAACTGGATACTAACATTTATGTTTTCCCCTGCATCAACTGTGGGTGTAGAATTATAACTTTTTTTTTTTGATGGTTGAACTGGATGGACTTGTCTTTTTTTCAGCCAGACTAACTATGTAATTATGTAACATAGTACATTGGTCAATATCGCTTCACATCATATTATTTTATTATAAAAGAGGATTATGTGGCATATACAGTATATGGTGCAATGATCATTTTCTCCTCCCATCCTATTATATTTACAGTATATAGATAGAGAATGCTGTGTAATGCACACCATATACACTCACCGGCCACTTTATTAGGTACACCTGTTCAATTGCTTAGTAACACAAATTGCTAATCAGCCAATCACATGGCAGCAACGCAATGTATTTAGGCATCTAGACATGGTGAAGATGACTTGTTGAAGTTCAAACCAAGCATCAGAATGGGGAGGAAAGGGGATTTAAGTGACTTTGAACATGGTATGGTTGTTGGTGCCAGATGGGCTGGTCTGAGTATTTCAAAAACTGCTGATCTACTGGGATTTTCATGCACCACCATATTTAGGGATTACAGAGAATGGTACAAAAAAGAGAAAATATCCAGTGAGGGGTAGTTGTGTAGACGAAAATGCCTTGTTGATGTCAGAGGTCAAAGGAGAATGGGCAGACAGGTTGCGGCGATGGTAGGGTCAGAATTTGGTGTAAACAACATGAAAGCGTGGATCCATCCTGCCTTGTATCAATAGTTCAGGCTGGTGGTGGTGGTGTAATGGTGTGGGGGATATTTTTGACACTAGCAAGGTCTACCTAATAAAATGGCAGAGGAGTGTACATTGTACAGTGATCTTTAGCTCCACTATTCCCTGTCTGTTATATTCACTATTATAGAGGAAAATATGTACAGTAGATATTAGTGATGAGCTGAATATACCAGGGTTTGGTTTGGGGCAGGTTGGGCAAACATGACTAAAGTACGGGTGCCGAATCCAAATCCTATTGAAGTCAATGGGAGCTGAATGTTTAAAGACAGTAAAGGCCATGCAGAGGTCAGAGCTGAAGAGAGGTGAAAGTGAGATGTGGATGGAGAATGCAGAAGTAAGCAGCTGTGGAAGAAGGCTGAACTCTGCACTCTGTGTGTAGCACACCCCTGAACACTGCACACTGTATGCTGTGCACCCATGAATTCTGCAGTATGTATGTAGTGCACCTCCAAACTCTGTACTCTGTGTAACCCCCCTGAACTCTTCATTCTGTACCTAATGCGTTCCTGGTATTTTATACCTCTTTACGACCCTCCCACTATTTGATGTGGTTTGGAAGGTTTGTGTGTGGGGGAAGGGAGGGTCATGCCTGAGTTCCTACACCTATTTTATGAGAAAAAAAATCCCTGCCCATCACCGCCTTCATTGTTGCCCTTTCTGTAGAGAACACTGAAGAATTAGATAAAAATGTCTATCCAGATAGCATTTATTTCACAAACAATGCTCCAAGGTTTTGGTTTGCAATTGTTTGCAAACCATCAATTGTTACATTGTCCTGATAGCACCACTTATTTGTATTGTGAAACAATTGCTTGTTATGTATAGGTGTACCTTTATTAGTGCAAATCAATACTCAGAGTTTTATTTGTATGAACATGACATGGTCTTGTTGACAAAGCATTTTACATAATCTGGCACCTTATATTTTAAAGTAATGTTATCTAGTTATGGTGCCAGCCTTATCACCGTCAGCTTACTGTTCTAGTGTGTAGCTGAGTATTTGACCTTTAGATATCTAAGCAAGCTACATTTGAGCATGATATCATATATAGCAGGTAAAAACAGTACCATCTGAAAACACTAAATACCTTGTCTACCTGACTAAATGAATACTGCAGAACTGAAAGGGAGATGTCAAAAGAAAAAAAAAAAAGGGTAAAGTGGGTTTAAGAGACAGGGCCAGTCATAGGGGACATGGTCAGAGGTTTTTAAGCAAGGAGAGTCTTGCTAAGGCAATCATCTGAACATGACATGGCCTATTTCTTCTGTAATAAAGGGGCTTCCTGTTCCCATTTGTTTTCTCTTTTTAATACTACTTCAATGAGCACTTTCCAGCCTGTACTCAGATATCCTGTCAATTTATGGAAAATGTAAAAGTTGCTGGTTTGGTAAATCAGACCCAGCATAAATTTAGGTACCTAAACAGGAATGTGTCCACAAAGATGGAATCAGCACCAAATTGACACAATTGTACTGATACAATTGCAAATGTGTCTAGAGGGATGGAAGAAGTGCCATAATGACTTGTAGCACTACCCAATTAGGAGTCGCTAGAGTTTTGGATCCACCTATAGTCCTGCACAGCCAGACAACGTGCATTTCCAGAGACAGTAAACGGTCCTTGAACTTTTCTTTTTTTGGATTTTATTAGTGCATGATAACTTAGATGGGGATGAGGGATACACGGGATGCCCATGGAACTGAGGACAACTTCCTGGAACTATGTACAAATGCTCAGAAGGGTTTCTCGGGAGAGCTATCCAGCCTCTCCTGGTGTACCACCTTACACCCCAGATGAAATCTCCTCTTCACTCTGCTGCCTGAAGGAATCCCTGGACAAGGGAAGTCCCAGATGGGGGCTAGTCAGGTTTCCCACCAGAACCCTCTCCCCTTATCTGGCCCAGGGCTGGCTACTTCTCTGCTTCTCAGGTTATCTTCTCTCAGGGGACAATGAGGCTGAGAGATCCTCCCTTCCAGTTCCTCTGCCTGCATTTAGGCCCCTCTCTTGAACCCCTTCCCAGGCTCCGCACACACCATCCTCTTCACTTCATCTTCCACCTGAACACTCCTGCTACTGAGCAGGCTTGCTCACTCTTAAGGGCTGTCCTGACCCCATGGCATGTCTCCTGCCTGGGGATTTGTCAGGATCCCTTAAGAGTGGAGACCAGCTCCTTCTCACCCCTGCCTACTGAGTTCAAAAGACTTCTCCAAGTCTCTAGATCAAGGGGAGGTATCAGGGAACCAGGGGCGGACTGACAACTCATGGGGCCCCCGGGCAATAGGGGATCATGGGGCCCCTGTGTCCTTGCCTAAACTCAAAAAAGCCTATGAAAAAGGTACCAGGGTCATCTCATTGGGCCCCCTACTGACCCTGGGCCCTAAGGCAGTGCCCGAGTTTCCAAATGGTCAGTCCGCCCCTGCAGGGAACTGATCTGCAGAGCCTCTCAGCCCTGACCCAAACTTTACCCCTCTGATTATATCTCCCGGCTGCTATTTAGCCTCCTAACTAGAAAATAATTAAGTAGATTCCCTAGCTTACTAGGAAGGTGCTACAGACACTATCACAAACATGTTTACAGTGACAAAATCACTACCATAATGACTGCAGTTTGTGTGCACAGAAGAAGAGGCTGTGTGGCACTGAACAAGTTGAGCAATGAAGAGCTTGATGCAGTGAGGACAGGTAAGTATGTCTCTTGTTAGGGATTCTGGGATGGGCCATGTGTCCCACTAAGAGCTCATTTACACTCTTGCAGTTTGCTAATTGTGATGCTTTAATGCATGTTTTTCTGCACAGGGTAGCATGCTTTCTTCATTTTAGAATGGGTTCACAACATACATCAATGTGCAAAACAGGTGCACGTTTTGTGTCAATTCAATGAACTACACATATTTATATCTCTGCGTTGTAGTATGCTATAACACAGGCATCTTTGTAATTACTATATATGTGTATTTTGGTGCAATTTAGAATAATGTATACCTTTGATTATTGTGCTTTGAGCTAACACTATAAATTTTACCAAGCATCACTGCAACATTGAGACTGCAGCCTAATGGAAAGTGCAATAAAATGCATTTCCACTTTAAAAGTACATTTACACTTTAATTTAATAAACAGGTCTATGATGATAGCAGACATTTATGTCTCTCTAAGGCTACGTTCACACTATCTCTGTCAGCAGGCGTCAGACAGGCATTTGGGAAGCATTTTTAACTCTTCTCAAATGCCTCTGAAAATTCTGCACATGGCAGCACACAGTGCTGTTCACAAGGGAGCGTTAGCGTTGCGGCAAAACTGATGCCTCTGGTCAAGTCAGGAGGAGTTGAGCCTCCCATTCAAGTCTATGGTGCCACTCCGCAAACATCTGGTGGTTGTGACATGGTTGCGAGGAGTTTGCGGAGCGTTAATACCATTTAAAAATCATTATAGGCGTTTGTAGTGCATTTTTAACGCTTGGCAAACACCTATCAACCACCTCAAAACCGCGCATAGGGCGTTTTGGGAGAGTTTGCGGAGCATTAAAAACACTTCACAAACGCCTGTCTATCACTTGTCAAACGCTATAGGGGCATTTGGCAAGAGTTAGAAATAAAGTCAAGTGTGAACGAGCCCTAAAAGACAAATGAAACAAGGTAGAAGAGAAGACATTTTGCAGACATAGCCTCACAGACAGTGCATCAGTCCCATCTTCTTTTCACCTCACCAGTGGTGGGTCATCCACAACATGTCTGCTCAACAACCTAGCAGCACAGCACACAGTGAGTGATACCGTTACATGCTAAGGAAGAGGTTTTAGGAGGAAGACACTCTAGGGAAAGCCAGTGGCAGTGAGTTCAGGGTCAGTGGAGTGTGGTGGTGTTACTGTCATTAGGCTTTGTAAACCTAAAAAAGTGGTCAGCACCAAAATTGTCAGGCAAGCTAGACAACCTTCCTGGAGGCCATGGCCTACTAAAAAGTAAAACCTTAAAGTGGTTGTAAACCTCAGACATGAAAATATGAACACAGCATTTCCCTCTATAGTGTGTACTTGTTTCAGTTAAAAGCACTAAGTGTCATTTCTGTCTGCTGCTTTGTTACTCTGCTATCAGCATGAGTAACTTCTAACAAGTTTTCCCCAAAAATGGTGACAGGGGAGGGACCTCCAACAGATTGGCAGCCTCACCTCTGTTCCTGAACTGTTTTTTTCCCTTGCAAGTGATTGGGAATGCTTTGCAAAGTGAATTTTCACCGCATTCATTACGTTAAGGGAAATTTCCCTTGCAAAGAATTACTTTGCAAACTGAGCAGCTTGTTGGTCTTTAGTAAATAAACCTCATAGTATGACATTTATGGACCAACTCACACTAACTGACAGATTTGGAAACAGGGGGGGATTGACAACTCATGGGGCCCCCGGGCAGTAGGGGATCATGGGGCCCCTGTGTCCTTGCCCAAACTCAAAAAAGCCTATGAAAAAGGTACCAGGGGCATCTCATGGGGCCCCCTACTGACCCCGGGCCCTCGGGCACCCGAGTTCCCAATTGGTCAGTCCGCCCCTGTTTGGAAATATTAGTATTAATATATTGCTAGCAGAGGGAACATTATAATGGTGATGGTATTGGGGAAATATTTTTACAGTATCAACGGTGGGGATTTTATTATATTGGTGGTGGTGAAGGATTTTATTAGTGTGATATGAAGAATTATTATTATTATTATTATTATTATTATACAATGCTGGGAAATATTATTATGGTGTTGGTTGTGGAAGATAATTTTATGGTGCGGGTGGAGGGAGTGCTGGAAATAACACATTTGGGGTGTATTTATTATGGTGCTATTTCATTCATAATTACCCAATTTTTAAAAGCACTACAAAGTTTATGATATTGCTTGCTTAAAGATTATATACAGAAATATATCATTCTCAAAGGACAAGAACAATGTTATTACAAGCTGTCACTTACTAATTGCAATGTACCCCCAACTAATGTAAATGGATTTAATCTATCATATCACAGTGTATAACCAGGCACCCACCATTACAACTACTAATATCATTTTATTTTTGTTTTTAAAATATTTTGAACAGTAATACAGTGAATCTTTGTATCAGGTTAAGTTGTATATTTGTTCCTTCTTTGTTTTTGGTAAAATATACCTCCAACCTCATTAAACTCTCTGGATGGGTTCCCAAGTCTTAAAATATTTATTATTTTTAGTCCATTGGTGTGTTGTTTTACTTTAGTCAACATTGGGAGGTTTCAGAAACAGAAAGAGGTTGATTTATTAAAACTAGAGATTGCAAAATCTGGAGTAGCTGTGCATGGTAGCCAATCAGCTTCTAAGTTTGTTCAATTATGCTTTTGCAAAAAAAAAAAACAAAAAAAAACTGTCATTCTGTTTTGTTATCACTAGATGGCAGTAGTTACTGGTAGTACTGAGCTGACAGCTGACTATGCAATAACTGATGCTTTCTAAGCCATCTTCTATACAGGGGAGTATGTTACAAACTATATTGATAGCACGATAACTTTATAACATTTCTCAGATGCACAACTAACTAAGACACATGCCCTGAAATTCATAAAGAGTGGCACAAAGTCATGTCAGAAACATGTACATGAATTTGTCACAAAGCCTTCATTGTGTGCAGGTCTCAAGGGCACTGCGTGGCCGAGCTTCATTGGTTGCTAAGGCACTTGTGTTCTTGGGTCTGCCAATGTCCTAGCAACCAATGCCGTTGTGCAGGAAAGCATCCTTGGCATCTTAAAGTGGAGTTGAGGCCTTTTAATTAATTTTTTTTTCTAAAGGCATCCACATGAGAGTGGCAGCTTATGCAATGCAAGTTGAGATCATCTGTACCTGTAATCCTTTACTTTTCTTATAAAAAAAAATTACTGCACCCTCATTTTGTGAATGCTATCATCTTAAGTGTGGGCACCTGAAGTCTGCTCGGACATTCTTCTGGGAAATTGTGCACTTCCTGTTCTCGCACCTATGCAATGTGAGGAAGGCATGGCACTTTCTCGCACCTGTACAGTGTGAAGAAGTCGCGATCTTGTGCCTACGCAGTGTGAAGAAATCCTATGAAGGATATAATCATAATAACGTGAGATTTCGGTATTAAGTATCCCCTAGGACTGCTGGGATAGAAACCCCAGGGAATGCCTGATGATGAAATCGCCTAGATGGCTGGGACCAGAAGTGGAGACAGAAATGATCAATAAAAGGTATTTAGGGAAAAAAAAAAATGATATATTATATATATATATATATATATATATATATATACAGTATATTGCCAAAATGGGGAGACCATTGTCTTTCACTCGAGAAAAATAAAAGGTTGGAACTTCGCTTTAAGAAACAAGAACCAGGGTCATCTTTAAGGAGGGGCAAAAAGGGCAGCTGCACTGGGCCCAGTCGTAGTTGTGGGGCCCAAAACAGCTGCTCCATACTTGTCAACTGTCTCAGTCAATCTTGTCCCTTGAAGTCTTCGTCCTGCACTGTGTCCCAATATCTCAGTGTGAAGTGCTGTCACTTATGCTGCCCAGCTCTGCCCTAATGCAGCCCAGCTCTGCCCTACTGCATGACTCATATGCAGTGTCAATATTCACATGTAAATAACTGGCATTCATACTGTATGTAAATACAGACTGGCCAGCAGCATTGATATGTAAACAGAGGGGGCATTCATATGTAAATATGAGCTGCATTCATATGTATATTAGCCCCCTTGAGGTTCCAGCCACCATAACCTCTGCTGAATGCTGCCCACTGGGGAGGTAAATAGGGGCGTTTGTGTAGATGAGCACAGGAGGTATGAAGAGTTAAGGTGGGAGGGGGGTAGTTGGAGCGGAGAGGAAAGGGGAGGTGCAGAGGTTAGCAGGGAAATTTAGGATGCGAAGCTGTACTGATGGGGTGGATAAAGATGTACGTCACATCTAGGGTAGCCCATTCATTTCAATGGTCTGCTCTTTGCACTAGAATTGCTGAAATAAAGTCCCTGACCCTCTTTCAAAGAGAGCACACCCTGGGATACTAAGCCAGGTCACCCATATTTAGTTTGATCAAATGACTCTTCAAGTTTGTCTGCACTTCCAAGGCGTAGTCTTTTATCCAGTATTTTATTTATTCAGTTAATAGCATTAGGTGTTTTAAAGGTTAGAATGTTTACCATTATAATAATGCTTTTAAATAAATAAAATACTTTATTTTACATCATTTTTTGATGCAGACTATCTTTGGATATATATAAAGAAAATGCAGCACTGTGTGATGTTACTATATTGCAGGCAGATATAAATAATAAATGAAACCAAAGCAAATGAATAAATGAATAAATAAATCACAGTCCAGTAATGGTGCTCACTGATTCCCAGTGCAAAAGTTAGAAATGCGCACTAACCAGAAACGTATTAATAATAGGCATGTG